CGATGGACACTGACATTCAAAGTGCTGGAATGCGACGCGGATTTTTATCGACTCACAGCAGTGGACTTGCGGTCGTCCTTGCTGCCCCGGATTATTGGCAAAGCTACGTATAGAATGACCCTTTATTTTCGCTAACCCCTATGATGCTTCGCAGAAAAGCTATATTACATATATATACAGAGGAAAAACATGTTTTCAATGCACAAGCTGGGAGCATATTGTCCTAACAATATTTGGCTGCTGGTTGCATATGGAAGCCATCGAATAAGGGCAAGAAACCGACGGGGATTCGACCATTTTCCGAGTTTGATAAATTGCAGATGCACAGCTAGACGATTCTGTGTGTATTATTGTGGTAAGCGACATTTTGAAAAACGTGCTCTTACAGAAACATATGTGCTCGTGTCCAAAAAAAAGTCCCTATATATAGACAAACAGCTTTAGTTCAATGTTCAAGGATTATAAAAGTTCACGTCGTCATAAAACTCTTGCTGGTTCAATGAAGGGCATCGACGTCATTTATTCAGACGTAATCCAATTTCGATAAATCGCAGATTATTAGAGGAAATTGCATGACGAGACAGCAGTCCTAATGCTGCATTCCTTTGGTGCCAATCGGAATTGCAAAAAAGGCAAGTACAGTCGAACCTCTCTAAGTCGAATTTCAAGGGACCTGCAAAAAAATTCAACTTAGGTTTCGACTGAGGGAGTTCAGGAATTTTACGGGTTGGAACTGCAAGACAAAAAGCTCTTTTTTCTGGAAAAATGAAAACAATTTAAAATGTTATATTCTAAAGCTCAAATGGCTTCTTAAATGAGTTGAAAGGCTGCTGAACTTGGAGGCAGAGGTTTATTTTCCCGAATGTGTCTTTCACTTCCTTTAAAACACGTAAGTTTCTGTTTTTATTGCTTTTTTCTTTATTTTTTCAAAAAAATAATGGCCAAAAGGTCAAAGAAAATTTGACTTACAGAGGTTTGAAGGGGAAAGCCTTTGACTTACGGAGGTTTTTTATGTATTGTTTTCGAGGGGATTCAGAGGGGATCTGAAAAGAATTCAACTTAGGGGTATTTGACTTATAGGGAGGTTCAAGTTATTGAGGTACACCTGTAATATATTTTTCTCCTCGGAATTGCATAATTACAGCCTTCCAGATTTATTTTCTCCGGATTACGCTCGGAATAGATTCAGTCAATGCAGAGCAAATTGAAGTAAAGCATCGTGCCTTGATGGATTAAAAAACATGACTTTCAAATTTCAATCACTTTCAAAGAAAAGCGTGTTTTGCATTAACAAATTGAATTCTCTGGTCAGATTAAGGATTAGAAAAACGGAAGATTTCTCAAATAAGAGCTATATAGATCTTCAAAGCCTGCAGCTCCCATAATTGAATGAAATCTAACCTTAAATGATGAAGTAGTTGGTCGAGAGATTCTTTTTTTGAATTGGAATGAATAACCCGCGTCGTAAAATTCCATCGTTTTCAATGGAAAGTGCGGTTTTGCATTAAACAATTAAATTATTACGTGAGAAAAACTGTTGGAAAACAAAAAAAATTCTGAAATAATAAATCACGCCGTTCGTGTTCATCAAAGCCTATATACATGGAGCTCAAACAATTCTTGGAAATCGCATCTTAAATTATGAAAAAAAAGTTGATCGAGAGATTTTTTAAAACTTTGAATGAGCCCACATTTGATATTTTGAGGATTGAATTTTCGCAGAATTAGTTCCTGTCATGAAATACAAAAAAGTCTATATATGTCGGAAATCCCCATCACTCGTCAATCCAAGGTTCCTCGCAGAAATTTAGTCAGTTGAAGCAACGTTTTGTGCTGGAGACCAAAGTTCAATCATTCGAACATCCACGAAACCAGAATTCCCTTTTCATAAAGTTCCCTTGACGAGTCAGATATTCATGGAATCATTGGAAAGGATGCATCGGGAGATCGAACAGGCTGTATGTATATAGGTGAACTGATATCTGAAGAAGAATTCAAAAAAAAGGACGAAATGGAAATTCGCAGCCCACCCCCTTACTTAATATAAAAGAGTATGCTGCAGAAGAAAATAGGGCGTTCTTTCTACCTTACACCTCTTTTTGCTCAAGTAGAACCCTTCCTTCTATGTGATGGGTGCCACGCAAAGTCTCCTCAATGCCAATTGAACGCGAAAAATAATGGACAATGAAGGAACTAAATATTGTGAAGAGATTTCATGCCATGTGCAAATGTGCATATGTATCTTATTCAACTCGTTAGAGTTCTTATTAGGCTATTGCTAAAGGTATTTTACAACATTGTTTTTACTAATTTTCCACCGGAATTCTCAAGGAATTAGTGCAATTCTGAGAAAATTTCATATCACAAGAAATAAATTGAATGAAAAATCCAGCCGCTGAAATACCGCGATGTTCCCTTTTTGTACCTCAAAGAAGACCATTGTTGGATCCATACTTTTATCATTCGGCTGAATGAGTGATGAATTATCATTCCGTTTGCCTTTATAAAGTCCAAAATTATTTCCTCCTACGTTTAACAATACAGTATTTTAACCTCAATCTAAAGATCTGCTGTGGTGTTCTTTAACATCATGCTGCAGTCCACAAACAAATAAAGACCATATTTAACCCTTTTAAAGGTCCACATTGAAATTCATTTTTTGAAAAGGTTGAAATACAAAGACCAAGAATCAAAGCATTAATCATGAATTTTAAGGATTGCTCAGGCATGCAATACTCCCTCCATTTTTACTGGTCTGCATATGTTAAAAGGTTGAATGAAAGAAATAAAGGATTTACTCTGCGGCAGCAGGTTGGTGAATCGTTCAGGAAAACTAATTATCTTTGGAATCTGAAAAACGAGATTCCCAGCCTGTGTTGTTAGTACAATTGGCCATTTTCTTCTATTTCTTCCAAATATTGATTCAAATTCCGATCTTTTGAGACATCATTCCTCAATACAATCGATAAAGATAACTGCAATCCTACAATCACAGGGATTTTTAAAATAATTATTCCTCTAATAACAAATGTATTTGGGACAATTTCCTTCCCCGTCCTCACCCCCACATTCTTAATCTTGGGACCATGTGCAGACTTTTCAAGACAGCATGAAATTGTTAAATTATACTTGAATTTGTGCATCCTGTATTTCCTTTATCCATGCAAAAAGCTCTTCAGAACAGCCACTTCGGGGGAAAAGTCACCTGACAACCTTTTTTTGAAAGTTGTCATTTAAACTCTTGTGACCTTTCTGTGGCACTTGGGATTAAAAAACTAAAAACCAGTCACAAGAGAACTGAACAAGCTTTCATTTGGTGCATTTTTCATAGCCACACAGCTCAATTTTCTACAAAGCTATTGACAGTTTTAAAAAGGTTCACTTTTTTGGCCCACTCTGTATATGCAATATACTGAGCATAAATTTAAGCACGAAGGGTTCAGCCTATCATCCCCGGATAATTTTTAAAGTATTTTTTTTTAATTTAGAGAGAACATTTCAGGAGATATAAAAAACCAACAGTATTTCCTGGTCCTTCAAAATTTGCGAAAGGACCTTTTTATCAATCTGTGAGAATTATAAGTCTTTTATGAACTCAATTCAAGTGACTGTACAGGTGGTACGTCATTGCAATTCAATCTCCTGCACTTTGATGGTCAAATTTGCTGAGAGGTCAACTTTCAATTTGACCTCTGCTCCATAATTTGACCTGCAGAAAGACTCAAAATTTCAAATTCAATGTATAGTACAAAAATTACAGTTGTTTCTGTCATGCAATCTGACCCTCAGCCAGCAACAGATTAGGGTCAAATTGCAGGGTACCATCACCAGTACAATGATTATTAACTTTTGCACTTGGTTCCATGAGATGAGTGTCCTCTTGTGTGCTGGCCTTTTATTTTATTTTTGCCCACCCAGCATCACCTGTACATCAATGAATTACTGAATTTTGCACTTCATTCCACCAGATGGGTGCCCTTCTGTACAGGCCATTTTTGTGGCCCACCCAGCAAGAAACTCGACTATAGTCCGGACGAGTATGCTATGCTGAAGGGGCGGATGAAGCAGCGTTGGAGGCCGAGATAAGCAGGCAAGCAGCAACATCAGGGCCTCAACACATATCCTCCTGCTGGCGGCCGCCGAGTTTTTCGATTCAAACCGGATTATACGCGTTTCATATGTAGTGATGCTGCTATACTACTCGCTGGACGAGAAAAAGGGGGGGGCGAGGAAATTGACTTGTATTGTCGTGCCGGTCGAGGGGAAAATCTGATGAGAAACTTCCTGACCGGGGCCATGGGCATCATGCAGCACCGAAGGAAACCCTGCCCCAAGGCCAGTTAGCAGCAGTCCGGAAAGTATGTGTCGTACTTGGCTTGTAATCTGCGCTACAAGAGGATCCTCGTCCTCCTGCATATACTCATCATATAGTTCACCCACTATTTTTTTTTCCTGAGTTTTCGTATATGAAGTCGTCCCAACGACGACGAGGACTCCGAATTTCAAATGCCCTGGGGATATAAATATATTGTATATGGCAGCAGAAATTCAATGAAGCTATGCTTTTCTCCATGTAAGAGCCTCGGAAATTGATATAGTAGACCGTTTTGTTTCTTTATTGGCATGATTCGGAAGTGAGAAAATATGTTTCATTCTGTTTATTATTCAAATGCAGCATATTGATGGAAGGATTCAAATTAGAATATACTCATCAAGCTTCAGGTATAAAATCATTACGCAACTGCAAATCGGTATTTTAGCCTTTCTTAACTTTCGAAAAAATATTTTTTGTGAAGTTCTCGAGGTAAAATTTGCACAACGAACGTCTGAAAAGTTTCCTTTCTTCATGAAATACTCAGGGAAGGATAAAACATTAACTTCTCGAGTTCTGCATATATTTCACAAACTATCACCAAATTCCTTTAATTCTACGAACCTTTTCTGTTTATTTTTTTAAATGTGTTCTTCCGAACTTTATGCAGCTGCTGTTTTCCTTCAATATATTCCAAATGGATCATGTCGTAAATCTCGTAATACATTCGTATGATTTTCAAATTTTACGAGCTTCGAAAATTTAGCATTATGCAATTGAATATAATGACGGTATCGAAAGCAGTCGAGTATTTTTTCTTTTCTTGGGAAATTCACTGTAAAGTTTCTTGCATAACGAAATGTGCATGTTTTTTTTCTTTTTAATTATAATTACACTGAACGGCTTACCAGCTTTCTTGTCTGCCATTCATCATGTTTCATTAAATTCTGCTAATGCACAGTTGAGTCGTGATTTTTTCTTTTTCTAAATTCTCAAAAATGAATGAAAACCGCCCTACAGCAAACCAATTGAAATGTTAACAAAGGCTGGTTTAGATAATGCTTTATATACATCGTCGGATCTGGATGATTGCTCGGAAGGTAATTGATCGTTCAGAGTTTTTCACGAAAGGGGAATAATGTCGATGTATTCGAGAGATTAATTTTCAAGTGACTTCGAACAGCTTCAATTTTCTTTTATTCTTTTTGTATAAATAATATTTAATTAAATACGGCATCACGACTTTGTGTATTCCCGTCGGGTCTCGACTTGCTGGTGATTTTGTCTCCCATCACGGCAACAAAGTAACTTACGACGAGGTCAATGGCAGGAATCTCAGTACGAATTATTCCTTTGCTAAAAGTGCCCATAGACTAGCTGATGTGCACCACTGTTTTCCCGCTGCTGTACTGACTTGATGTGAGACTTCACAGTGAATTTCCCGAAAAAAGAAACACAACTGCTCTCGATATACCGTCATTATATTTGATTGAAAAATGCTAAATTTTCGAAACTTGGGTCATTTTGAAAATCATACTAACTTACAACATGATCCATTTGGAATACAACAAATAAAAACAGCGCGTCATGCTGCTGCAGAGCTATGGAATATATGTTGCTATCCCAGACTGTTGGATGTAATAAGAAATACAAGATTAGGTGTCAAAAGTCTTCTTTGGGAAGTAACCCTTTATCCTAATCCAATGATTTCTTGGTGAAACAACTTGAGTTGAGAAGTATTAGTCTTTATGGCTGGGGTAAAAACAAGTAAGTCTACTTCTTTGATAAGTGAATATATATTTTGTATACTCACAGTACAGTCCAAACCAGCAATGAGCATCAAAAGAGTGTTCAGGCATTTTTTTTATAGATTCCAGATGCACAAGACAGGTGACTGGCTGTGCATAAACATAAATGAACAGAAAGTAAACTGGAACATGTGAATGACTGGTCACCAGACACTGTTGCAATGTTCCGGTACACTGATCCAGGTGCATTGCTCGGAGGGCACAAGAATACAAAAGTCATATCAAGAACTGGGTATTCTTAACCTGTTTTACTGATTTCAATTTTACTAAAGATATGATGTTAATGTTTTGATATTTGGTCAAATAATTACCAAGTCATGAGAAGAAAAATGGGGCAAATTCCATATAGTCAAGAATATTGCGTAATTTGTTTGCAGAGAACTTTGTGCAAGCATAAAAAACGAAGTTTTTCCCAGCAGAAAAGTCTAGAACCTTTCTAGGTTTCTAGATTATGCGGATATAAGAGAAACTCGGGTATTTCTTTGATTCTTCGAATGTTTGAACTCGTGCGACAGAGGTTCAAATTCTGTGTCACTTCTTCTCAGAAATACTTCAATAATACATCGCGTTAAAAAAAATTGCGTGGGGGAAAAATGCTTTTCTGGAGGAAATAGTAAAAATAAAAAGAAGGTAAGCTCACACTACTGTGTACAGTATGTGGTGAGGTTTTCTCGCGTAAGAAAAGCGACGGAGAAGGAATGAGTCGAAGCATCTTCTTCTTCGTCGTCACTGTATACGTGCAGCTGCCGAGATTAATTCCAGCTTTCAGTTGGCAAGAAGTCAAAGATTGTTCCTCGTCCATCCGGCAAACATTAATGGTGAAATATTGCGACGGATGCTGAAATTGATCCATACACTAGACCTCTGATATTTTTATAAATCAGGGCAATCAGCAGAGGAGTCACTTTGAAAAATCCACGGATGATGCGTCAGCGCCCTGGTATATTTTCAGTTTAATCTTATTCTTTCCCCAATTCAACTTATAAGATGTCTCTCCTCAATGTCACTCAACTTCTCTGGACCTGCTTTCAATTTAGGCAGGTATAGTCACATTATACTTTCATTCTCGTCTTATTTTTTCCTCAATTTACCATTAAAATTGTTCTCTCGCCATTGGTGTAACCAAAATGGGTACAAAAAGGCAGAATTTGGATATGAAACACTTCACTCAGCTGTGGGGTTCAGCTGGGGATCTCGTTTACAAGATCCCAAAGAAAAAGTTGAAGATATATTTCTTTTAACCCCAAGATTAATTGATTCACAGAACACAGCGCACAATAAGAATCCTGTCTTCAATTTAAACAGACACAGTCATATTTACAGGTACGTACCGAAGTTTTAGACGATGCGGACTTGTTGAAACAATTTCAAGTTACTTATACAGTTATACACTAAATTTCTGGGATTCTGGAAGTGGTATATGAGCAAGTAATAAAATGTTTCAGTAGAATGAACGTGGAATATCGCGAGCATACATATTCGATTCAAAAAAACTTGTTCACAATAGTTAATATATGACATGTTAGCAACATCTGAAATATCAGAAACCTGGATAGAAATTCAAGCATTTAACTTAATTGACACTGGCTAAAACCCTTCAGGTGGGTTCGTATTCGCAATTCCGTGTATATTTACATTTAATTGTGGGATGCTGGGATTACAATATAGGGATTCGGGCAGCGGTCAAACTTCAAAAATAAAATACTAATTAAACTTTATAAATAATGGTTGATGGATTTAGCCTTTAAATTTTCAAATTCAAAATTCGGCGCTACATTTTCTGAGCTAGAATTTCGACATTTCTATCTTGGAGGGAGGGGGGGGGGGGTTAACTGTCACTGAAGTCCATGTAACACCGAGCAACCTAGAATCGCATTTGAGCACACGGAACACACGAAAATACTATGCTTTCATTTCCAGGATTCAAATTTCAATTTGAAAAGAATTGTAAAATCGGTTGGGTTTTGGTTCGGAGTATGGAATAGAGTTGAAAATTTGCGAAGAGTTTGGCTTTTCATTGGACTCGGCAAATTTTTTTTTACGCAGAAGTCTCTAAATGGATAAATTGGCAGAACTTTAAATCGAGCATACCATTCTGTTTCCTTCAGATCATTTCGCATTTTAATAAATTCAGCACATTATTATCAGTCAGCATGATAAATCGTCGACCTCCGTCATGTTCTTGAAAACCGCTCTAGAAAAGCCGACATGCACCCACGTATGAAAAACAAAATAAGGGAACCCTGGAGGTGAAGGGGAGGGAATCACAAGGGTGTTTCCGATCCCAAGAGAGTGGGTTGCGGAACCTTACGTCAACATTCCTCAAGCTGGACGTGGAAAGTCAGACACAAACAGCACAGACTATTTCTAAAAAAAAATACAGTATACATAGAAATAAAAGATATCAAGGAAAAAATATTCAGTATATTTTAGTTCTCAATCTTTCGCGGCCCCTTCACAGATAGGAAAAAAACGGCAATAATGTGCAGTCTTTCCCTAAAAAAAAAAAAATTTAAGCGTGAATTGCTGTATATGAGAGTTTTAATTTGTCCGGGGGATCACTTGAGTAAAGAACTAAATCTGAGAATTCAGTTTTCAATATAAGAATTAGCTCATTGGTCAGAACTCAGAAGAGAACAGACTTGCTTTCAAAATGGTCATTTCCTCAGCCTATTTAGGGCTTTCATGCAGGGAATCAAATGCGCTCCCAGCAGATTTTTTTTTTCTCGGCAATAAGTTTGTCAAAAGAAATCGTGTGTCATTACTGTACTGAAAATTTGAATTACATCTGAAAATTTAGAAGTTTGAGACCGTTAGAAGCATTATTCACTTCAAATACAAAGCTTGAGAGCTTTCATGCATGGAATATGAAATACGGCCCAAGATTTTTTTTTTTGCTTCTTATTGGCGATATGCTAGTCCAGGGGTGCCCAAGATACGGCCCGCGGGCCAGATCTGGCCCGCGGAGGCCTTCAAACTGGCCCTTAGACCATCCCATCAAATTTGCCTTAGCTGAAGATATATCTAGCAAATTTTCAAATTTTTCCTGCATAGGAAGTCTTCTAATGTATTCTCATTATTTTGTCTGAAGAAACTTCTAAATTTGTTTGCTTAATGCTTGCAGACTGCATAAAAAATACAAAAATAAGTTAGTGATTTAACATATTTCTGGAAGCTTTCAAAATTTTCAGTTTGAGTGTGCAATTGAAGTTGCACACTCCCTCCTCCCATGCTTTCAACTGGCACATGTATGTTAGCTTTCTGAAGACACTGTTTTCATTTTCAGGAACTGGTACAAAAGTGATGCACAATTCATTTATTTGTAGTGATTTTTTAAAAGAAAACTAATTGAGATCACAGTGCATTGTACTATTACATATTTGTGATTAACTGAGTTTAAAAAAGTCAACAAGTCCCTTTCATTCTTTTATAAGGAAGCTTGGCAATTTCTCAGATTAATTTATCTTGCTCAAGTCTTTGTGTTTGGACTTGAAATGCCAGAAAAGATTGCATTCCTTAGAAACTGAAATTTTTTCAAGACAAACCAGGCAAAGCATTTTGCCATTGAAGATTTTTAAGAATTATTTTTTGACCATTCTCCATTAAACACTCTGCATTAATTGTCAATCTTTTGTGGGTCACTCCTTTAGCCATTTTTTATTCAAACCTTTGTAGAATGATAAATTGTCTCATTCAATTATTATTTTCTTCAACCAGAAGATCACTGTTCACTCATAAATCCCTCCACATCTCCCATTTATCTGACAGTGCTCATATTCTATTTATGCTGTCTATGTTTTTGCGAAGGAAAAATTCCATTTTCAACTTTTTTTTCTCTATGAAGAGCTGCAATTTAACTCAGACTTTTTGTTTTAAGCGCATTTTTTGTTGTCCTTGCCCCATATTTCCCAGCACAAAAAATCACATGATCCTAAAAATTGTGAAATAGCAACATGATACTTGTTGACTTTTGTTAAATTCAAATGAGTCTAAAATGTGGAACATTTTTGGAGGAGTATATTTATTTTCAGCATTGTGGCCCGCAGAGAAGGCTTATTTTTTTCATGTGGCCCTTGACCACTTTTGAGTTGGGCACCACTGTGCTAGTCGAAAGAAAGCGTGTCTCATTGCTGAAAATTTAAATTACATTTGAAAAATGTTGAGTCCTTCAGAAGCATTCACTTAAACTAAAAGCATATCTTGGGCTCTCCTGCAGGACTAATGCGCCATCGTACCTGCAGATTTTATCGCTTCTTTTGGCGTCAAATTTGTCGGAGGAAAGCGCAGCTCATTGATGAAAATTGCAATTGAATTTTACAACTTATTCATATACAGTAGTTTGAGTCAAATAGAAGCATTTCCTTCAAACAAAACCCTACACAGAGCTTTCCTGCATGAAATAAAATACGCGTGTCCAGCAGATTTTTTTCTTTCTCTCGGCGATATGTTTGCCGAAAAAAACGTGTCTAATCGCAAAAAAAAATGTAAATTTCTTCTGGAAATGTATTCATACGCCCAAGTTTGAGTACGGTTTCACTTCAAATAAAAGCCTAATTTGTTTCATGCATGGAATAAATAATGCGCACCAAGGAGGTTTTTTTCTTCCCAGCGATACGTTCGAATTAAGCAACCATTCGGCCACGTAAGTTATTATGGATTATATGCCTCAATGTTGAGCTCGAAAAGGTATACTGTACAGTACAGTACATATATATGCGGTGAAAGAACAGCTGTAGTGAATGCATATACAGTATACTCTAAAAAAAAGGGGGGGGGCTCATATATAACACCTAAGGTATATACCAAAAGCGGAGCAATGATCTTTCCGCACACCCCGAGAGGAATAAAAAAGCCGCCTGATCAAGCGTGCCACGGGGATTACGACTCCCAACAGCAGCACCGATGCTGGTCAGAGTGGGTATCGATCAAGGACCTGTCCCAAAAGGAAACAACACCCGGGCCCCAATACTGCCACTTCATTCCGAATATCACCCAGAATGGAAAAGAAAAGTCGGCACGGGAAATAAATAAACGGCGACTCTGCGGCGAAATCGTTTTTTCCCCATTATTTATGTACACCCCTTATTTTCCCCTTTCAGTTCTGGATTGACGCATTCCATTAGCAGTCCATTGCTTTACTATATATAGGGGACACACGTATCCTTCTTTCCAAGATGCTGACGTGTATCAGTATACAGCTAGTATAGCAAATACTGTACATCGTATCACTGCGTATATAAAATACACTAGTCAACTTCGCATTAAAAGTGGAGTAAGTCCAAAAGTTTTACACATGCACAGCAATACTGTAAATTGTCTGGAAATTAATTCTTCTCGAACTTGTGTAAGATCTGATGAAACATCCCGACTGTTTTCAAAGAAAGAAAACAGGAACAAAATGTGCAAGCATGAATTTGGTCTGGTTACCAGAGAAAGTGGAAGGTACGTATACAGGGGTTCTAACAAAAGTTCTTGGAATGAAAATGAAAATGGCGTCTAATCGAGCTGAAAAAAAAATTATTCTTTAGGGCAAACATATTCTTTGCCACAAAAAATCAGCCCTGTTTGCCAATTTTTTTCAATTTTTTGCAAAATTCACCCTGGCAGAGTTGTGCTATCCACTCAACAGATGAGGCACCCTTCCTGCAGTTTTTTTTTCTTTTTTGTGGCTCAGCTTTCCCCTCAGAATTCTTGAAATCAATGTGGCATTAATTCCAAGGGTTGCCTCCAGGTCTTCCAAGGCAATTCTGCCATTTTATCTCAATTAATTTTTCAGAATAACGATGTTTTCCTTCAGTCACCATCACATCAACTTAAGGAACGAGAATGTTTCGTATTAGTTGCGGATTTTATCCGCATACAAGATATTCTATTGATAAGATGAATGCCGCAAACGTTTTCGTTCTTCAAAAATCAAATATTCAATCTATACAACCTTTAATGATATAAAAATTATATTCTGTGAGGTACTTTGTGCAACCATCACAAGCAGCCTTTCAATTATGCCCTCGGAAATACTGTTTGTATAAAATTAACGTACCGCTGCTATGGTCCGATGAGGTTCCTCGATTGATGTTTCTTCACCGCTTGTGTGAAACACGGGCTGCCATAAATAGTGTCACCATGAGTATAATTAATGCGCGTCTATACCGCTCATACCTCATAAATATATTTCAGCATCGATATTTCTCATTTTACTTTCTTTTTTTTCATATTTCCCTGCCCGAAACGGCGAGAAAGCGTGAATAATAGTCAGAATATGGAAAGGGCTGTATACAAATTACGGCATTGCTGATCACTTCGAAATCTTCACGCTGCCGTGCGCAGATAATAAACAAATCATGTATTTTACTATGCACAGGAACCAGAACCCATCAGCAGTGGTATGCAGCATGCGATGCGTGCATGAAAACCCGGAAACCCAGTACAGCATAAGAAATGGCATTCCACCATATCTGGGCAAAAATATATGTGCTACACTGCCTTAAGAAAGGCGATATATGCACACAAAAAAATTCACGTTTGGAAGTCATTCCAAAATTGAAGTACTGTGCCATAATAGAAAGGGACCATCATCAGCAGCAGAAAGTTGTTCTTCCTTATTACCCCATAGAACTGGATGACACGCACTATATGCTCGAAAAACTGCTTCCGTGAATGCTCTTTTGCGTTTCCAAGCAGCAGATATATAGGCCTTTGAAAAAATCAAAATAATATCAGTACAGAAGAAATGCAATACAGAATCTAATACAGATGTGAAGTTTTAAAAATGTGACGCCGCGGTATACTTCGGAATAATCGTTGCCGCAATTACTTAGGAATTGCTGTAACCTGGATCTTCCAAGATTGAGCTGATGTGCATATATGCAGTCAATAACGTCAAACCTCCCCATAAGTCAAAAACCTTCCAATTTATAATTTTTCCAAGTCCGTGCCTGAATTCCCTGAGGATCAATTCATTGAAAGCTTCCATACTTGATGAGAATTATTTCCCCCTAAAACATTCGACCCATAGCATGCATTTTTTGGAGGCCTTTCAAAACTTTTATTGACACAAGAAAAAAGCAATAAAAAGGCAACTTGACGACATGCTTTGAAAGGAAGTAAAAGATTAATTGGGAAAACCCTTGCCTCCAAGTTCAGCATCCTTCAATCTTCATTTAAAAAGCAATTTATACCGCCCAAGCAGCAGAATACTCGTATCGCATACAGTATTATAATTTCATTTACAGTTTCTATTCTTTCTTTCCCCCAACAAAAATTTTCGTTTCCCCATAGCTCGAAACCTTCCCAACTCGCATCTTTTGCTGGTCCCTTGAAATTCAACTTGAAGAGGCTCGACTCTACTGCTGTATATGCAAAGCAACACGCAATAATGAAGGGTCCCATTAAAGAATTATAGAATTGCTCAAATCAGTATATAAACACGACCATTGCGTCCGTATCAGGCACAAACATGCACGCTACAGAAATGATGATAAGCACAGAATTCAGACCTAGCAACTCCGACTGATTACAGCTGGACGCTGAAAATCGTCAGCCCTTCTCCGAGGAATTCCTGCAAATCTAAAGTGCATTCATACATTTTATTGCAGCCATATATTGCATTTACTCAAGTACCAGGCGCATCTTTCTTCTCAAATTTATGGGGGAGAAAAGGGGTGCGCATCATCATAGGTAGATTTACATTTTTCCAAGTTTAAAAGTTTAGGTGTGCATGGAGTACAGTATTCCATTCCATTGGGACAATTTGGACCCATGTTAACAGAAAAACGTATTGTAATGGATATACTGTTTTTATACTCAAGTATGTACCCTTGACTCAATTAAGACGCAGACCAGGGTTTTTCAGTCAAAATTTGACTAAATTGTATCCCTCATTAAGACATCCACCCGACTTTAATGACTCTACAACTGCTATATTTTGAAAATACCAGCACCGTATGAACACGCAAATTTGAATTTAGACAGGATTTAACCTGAATTCAACAAATTGTATGTTGTTGTCAGAAAAATAATAGTAAAATAATTGGTCTAAAATTTATAATTGGAATCAAGACTTCCAAAACATTTTTAAAAATGATGATTTCCCACCAATGACGCATATCCCTTCTTTCCCTAAAATTTGGAAAAAGGTGCGTTTGGTACTTGAGTAAATACGGTAATTGAAAATTAGTTCAATTGGGATTCAACTGATGCCTAAATTAAAATGTGGCTGTTCTTAATTTTTTAAATATTGCAGTTTTAGAGTCACTAAAAATGAGATGCACCTCATCTTACTAGGGCATACGATTTCAGCATAACTTTTCACTGAAAAATCGTGGATCGGGCGCATCTTCCTCAAAAGGCGCACGGGTACTTGAGTAAACACGGTAATAATACAGTCCAGCAGGCAGTTTTCCAAAGACTCACTGTCAACTATACACCGCAGTGAATCAGCTGAAAGCCGAGTCCCTCTTCTGGCTCGCCGCAAATGTAATCATCCAGGCAGGAAGGGATTAAATGTACGCAACACCGGGGTGCTGCTGCTGCTGCCGTGCGACGCGTCTTCATTGAATCCGCGGGTAACACACACCACCACACACACGGAGGTGCGGTGAGCAGAATACATTGGCAGCGAGGAATACATCAGTGCATGCTGCAGCTCCCGAGCTTCGAGATGGGCCGCGAGTGCCATCCATTATCGTTTGCTTCTTCAGGCGATACGGGATCCCCTATGGCAGAAAAACTTCTACCTTCGCGTGCGTATTACTGAGGCTATAAGGTAATAAACTGGTCGAAGGGAGAAAAAAAAAATGCATAAATGAAGTATAAACAAGAGCAGTGATACGAAGCTCGCGGCTCCGATGTTGAATGAAACAGGATTGGGCTGCACATATACTGTATACAGTATTCGCAGCATCTATCATGATCAATGACTGCACAATGACAAGTGATTAGGTTCCGAGAAATGAGGACGATGCGCCTTCTATGTTCACCTAGCTCGTCCCTTCTCTATGTAGACATATTCACTTCTTGAAGAATAATACCAGCAATTGGTACACATACGACGGTTGGTTCATCATTTTCGACAACTTTTGAATTAAGTCCAACGGTACGGAGTTTCAAGAATTTACAAAAAAAATGTTCACTCGCATAGAGCCCCATCATTTGGAAATACTGTACAGTGCTTCAGTGCTGTTCATCATACTCTCCCCCAATTTCAATGCATTTTTTCATGCGATAAAACCAACGATCAAATCAGTGCCGAAAATCGAGTTCCGTTAGTTGATTGGGCTTCCTGTGACTTCTGAATGTTCCGACGATGAAGAATGACCTGAAAGGGATTAATCTTGAGGACAGGGACAGACTCATTTCCGCCATTGCAGAGCAGCTTGAACAATTAACGTAACTCGATTTTCGGCACTGTTTATCACTTGAAAAAATGCATGGAAATTGGCGGAGAGTATTTTGAAATGCGCTGAAGTGTTGCCAAACAATGGGGGTACACACGTAAAAAAAATTGGAATTCTTGAAATCTCGTTGAATATATTTTAAAATGTCTCAAAACTTAGGGACCAATCTTCGTATAGAGGCATGAAAAAAAAGCACGCCTGTCAAATAAGATACTGTATATTTATAGTCTTAGAACAAATGCCAAATGTTCGTAAAATCCGAAAAGTCGAGTTGAATATTTTCCCATCATGTGATCACAAGACTCCAACGTCGTTTTAAACTCAAACTTCATTAGTGCACATGGAAAACATACAGCGTCTGAAGACAAACGTGGGACTTATTACTTTAAAAAATCATTATACGATTGATTATTTTACGCACTTCGACGTAGAAGTGAGAATTTAATGCACAGACGAATAATTCCTGTCTTCAGAGTGATTCACCAGATGCTGGCCCACTTCTCCATCTATTTTAGCAACCTAATGCTCACAGAAACGGGTTCCAAAATACCAACCACTTACGAACCAGTCCTCGACTCATAAAAATACTCATACAGAACAAACATCAGATGATACTAAGAAACTGAGCCAGAACACGAAAATAGGGAAAAATTAGGCCAACTACCAGGAGGACAAATGTTAACAGTACCTCGGAATATTAAAACTTCTTACTACTGTATATAAAATGAGCGAAGATTCAGAGCTCCAATACTGTACTCGAAAGTCACAATTCTGAGGAGACAGTTGCTGGCAGATGTCCTGGGGGAAATCTCTCTCCAAAAACCTCATCTTTCCACAGAATGCAACTCCACCCGTATACGCTTCTGCGTGGCAAGCAATTCCCATTCAAGCACCACTTCAACCCAAGTATGAAGATCTACAATGACAAATAACTTGAATTGCTTTTTCACCGGTGTTCCTCGTGATGCTGCCGGTTGAACAGACAAATTTCTCACATTCAACGGGTTCAGAAAAAAAAAAAAGAACGCAACTCACGAAAAGAAATTCCGCTCATTTAATGAAGCCTTGCAAATCATGGGCACATCGTCATTTTTTTTTGCAAGGGAAGCGCCGTGAACCTAATCATGTCGTTCCAAATTGAGATCCCCTAGACGAGTTCTTCTCTGCGCAATGGCTTCTTTGGTATCCAAGGAGAATTTCCCGTGTCGTCCAACCTTTTCTTCTACGAATTTTGTCGCACCCTTCACACTTTCCTACGCATCGTATAATTTTTTTCAGCACACATGATCACGCACAAAATAATTATATCTTTTGAATAAAATTTACCTCACGAATGACGTATCGAGCACGGGAAAGTTCAGCGTCCAATTTCTCCTTCATTCCATCTTCGTTTCCAAGAATTGAGCAATACGCATTCATCTTATCTGCTTTCATGCATTCCATGGGGAACTTGGTCAACGCTCGAGCAAGATTGACAGCTTGACCAAGGCCTAAATTACAAATGAATGTTTCAAATGCAAACATACTTGAAGTAGCGTTTGAAAAAAACATTCTTCATGATCTTATCGAATCTTGACGATGAATTTCTTGAATAAAATGGTTCGAGATCAAAAAACTGGTCAAATTTCGGAAGATGAACACCTTAAAAAAATTAAATCGAGACTGTTGTCCGGTTCCCGCGTGAAATCGAAAAAACACATTACCACGACTTTAATACTTCACTAGTTTGTTTTTCATATCTTCAATGCAGAAGATACGAATCCTTTTTCTCCAGTCACTCAGTAACCAGAACTTGAAGGAAATTAAAAATACCCTACTACAGTATACCGAGATTGATTCGTAATTCACGCATGGATGACGTGCAAAAGCCAACATTGGTGAATCTGGCTGTGCTTCAGCTTTCAAAGTCAAAAAAAGCGCGCTAATCCATGATAAGTGAATGAAGAATCAAAACTATTCCAATGCCCTGTTTTCAACTCATCAAGAATCACTGTAGCTCAGTTTACTCTTTAGTATTTTAGTTAGTATGCCACGCAAAAATCAAAAATCCCTAGTATTCGAAAATTTCCGATGCATATGTACGTGGCAACAAATTTAATTGACGGCGAGCTTCGTGAAAACTGCCGAGAACATACAGTTGGACTCCCTCTACAACGATGTTCACTATAAAAAAAAATTCGCTGCAAAGAGAAGTTCATTGTAGAGAACTATAACATGCGAAGAGAACCTTGAAGGACCAAATAAAAATTCGTTATACAGAGAGTATCGTTGTAAAGATCTTTGTAGAGAGAGTCCACCTCTACCAACCTGTTCCAACAGCAACGGCCCGATTAATCAGTCCCATCTCCAAAGCCTCTTTGCAACCAACTGCCCGTCCAGTTAATATCAAATCCATGGCTCGCCCTAAACCGACAATCGCCGGCAGCCGAACAGTTCCTCCGTCGATCAACGGTACACCTTTCCACAAAAAAAGTAGATGACTTCAAAATGAGTAATATTCAGCAGTATGCTTTGAAAAACCTAAAAACGGTGTGAATATAAAAAGGTTAATACAGGTGGACTCTCTTTACAACGAAATTCAAGGGACTAGAACGACAAAATTTGCAGTAGAGAACCCCTATAACATGGGGACATAACCCTACGGGACCAAAAAGAAATTCGTTAGATAAACAAAATCGTTGTAGATACGATCAGTCTAGGAAGAGTCCACCGGAACTATTACGCTGTGGTAGGAAATTCGTGGGAAAAATCACCAAATCGTCGACAGAAAACTCCCACTATCGCGTTTTCCTCCATTACTCTCAAATCGCACATCAGTGCGAGTTCTAAACCACCAGCTACGGCATATCCATTCACGGCAGCGATCACAGGTTTCTTTATCTTCATCCTTGTCGGACCCTGATGAAAGAGCAGATGACACTTGAAAAATTAAAAGATTTCAATATTTCAACAGAAGGTGAATTTCATTTGCAATTCATGATTGTCCAGCGAAAGTTTTTTTTTTTAATTTCACGAGCTAATTTTTACCACGGTAATTCCATGTCAAGAAAGCATGACTTTTCAAAGAATTTTCAATAGATTTCTCCAGTTAAAAATTCGGAAATTTCCAATCCCAAATGAGACTGACCGGTTCTTGTAGCATGGATGAAAGTTCGAATCATTGAAAAAACTACTTCCCAGTGGTTCCACACATCATCCTTCTAGAATTAAGGAGATTTTCACATTATCATCCCTCAATGACGAGATTGGTGCGACTGATAGGATGCATGATTGAAGCTAATTTTTTTTTCAGAAGATCACGCAGTTCTAACAACAAAAATTAAAACTCGGAGAATGCCAGAAAAACATTATCTAACTGATTGTACGCCGGTCTTATATGAAGATTCTTTCCAGTCATTAATTCTGAAACTCTCAGAAAAAAAATTTTCAGCAGAGCTTTTTATCAAACTTTTTCTCAACTCAACCAAACTTGTTCTCAAGTCTTACTTCGTCGTAACGAGATGTTCCTGTGTACATTCCCGCTTCAGTCAAATTTCGAAACATACGGAAAAGCTGACCAAGCAAAGAACTCATTTTCAAGGACCACATTCCCCAACGGAAAAATTTTCAAAAATGAAACGTCGACAACCGGAGAAAATAATCTAGATCTAGAATAATCTCACGCGAATTCTGACGGCGACCGAAAAACCAACGACCCCGAAAATTCGTCGCACTTCAAGCATTTCCCGGAAAAGCAATATATTTTAGAGCAAATTCAACGAAGGAACGAAGACAGTTGACCCAGCTTACCATTAATCCATGAGGACCATCGAGTAGGTCGTCCAGTGTGACAGAATTATTTCCGAGGGATTTGGATAGCTCTTCAAGATCGAAGCCGGCGCAGAAGTTGCCTCCTACACCGTGAAGCACTGCGACCAGAGATTCCGGGTCTTCATCGAATTCTTCAAAAGCTTCTCTCAAAAGCCTACGCCATTGGCAAAAAAGGACAAATAGGACAATAACTTGAGTTTACAAGGTACATCTCGGGGTAATTCACAACTACTCCGCAAACATGTAGAGTTGTAGACAATCCAAGTTCTCAAGCCGTTTTTGATGATCGAGAATTTCGTTCGGCATTACGAGAACAACTGCGAGATAATTTCGCTGAACAACGAAGTGAGATGGAAAAATTAGCATCGTATTGACAAGTGGAACATACTTTCCTGTGCTCACATCCACACAATTCCTCTTCTCGGGTCGATTGATGCCAATGCAAACGACATCACCAAGTTTTTCCACCAAGACTGTCGACGCCTTGAACACTGCGCTGGTCCTGATGTTTCTCTTGGAGAAAATAGCCCCAGCAAAACGCGGAAATATCGGAAGAATATTACGAAGAATCATTTCGCAGGATTCCACAGGCCTGAAAAAATGAAAAGCGGGACGAAGCCAGAGACCAGATCGAACGAAAGTCAAACAATACGCAATGCACGCATAAAAAACGGCAAAATACAACATTTCTTTATACTATACTTTATTTGCGTTTCATCAGTCCGAAGTTCAGTAACAGGTTCACTTTCCGCAGCCGAAAAACAAATCCGGATTCAAAAGAAATTCCCGACCAAGATTTCGCTCAACAATTACCTACAACTTTCAACCACAACCCCAAGACTTTTCCACAGCCAAAAACTGTAGCAAAATATATGTCCATCACTCAAATCACTCAAGATAGTCCTTAGGAGAAAATGACCGACGTGAATCATCCAGAAAGGGTTCCTGATATATCAGATTATAACAAGCCTCGTTTCCATTATGCAGCCCTCCAAAATTTGCACTTCATCATGAAAAAAGAAGGATTGAACGTTTTCAGTTTTCGTCTCTGAAATGAGCACGTGAAAAAGTTGCGCGCTTCCCCTTACAATCGTCAGGCAGCTCTCCGGATGATAAAATACATACTCATTCCGACTATAATTTACGAAGAATGAAAAAACTTAACATCGAAATTTACAGTCGTCATGACATACGACGGAAATTTAAACAGAAGTAAAGATTTCGTCATTGGATGACTACCCTGAATAATTCCACCTAGAAAAACGAACAGGTAAAAATTCTTCGATTGGAAAAAATAATTCGTTTCGGGATTTTAAAATCATGTCCATTCTTCCGACACGCTGGTACCACGAATAAAAATAGGGATAGAATCCGCAAGAGCCAACATATTCAACTAGGTTTAGTTGTCTGATGAGAAGCTGTTTTGGGAACCGCCGCTCTGGGCATAAATCCCATCGTCGGCGGAGGTCCCAATCTTTTCTCCGTTGGTGCAGCAGTTGGGTCCATGCCCTGAGGAACCTGAATACCAGATGCTCCCGTAAGATAATGCGGCAAAGGCACAGCGGGATAATGCCTCGAACGCTGCGAATAGTTAGGCACAGAACTATTAATTGCTATATATCGCCTCAAGAAATCATGTCCATTTATCTTACTTGCACTTCAAAAATTCAGGCAGTTACATTTTTCATATTTTGGATGCACCCAAAGAGAATGAATGTCACATGCATCTCACTCTTGACTTAAAATTCTCCTGCATTTTTTACGAACATAGCTCCAGGGTACAAAATACGGTAACCTAAAAATACAGTTCATCATCTCGGACGACGCGCAGAAAATGTTGTTCTCTCGGCATCATTTGGAACTTTACTTTGAAAATTTTTACGAACTTCTTCAACCCTCACGGATATCTTTGGGATTACTACCTGTATTTCCTCAAGTACCGTGCGTCATCAAGTAAAACGCACAACTAAAATTTGCGGGCTGAAATTTGGATGAAAGCGTACCCACAGGTACGAGGCACGCCGCATTTTCAGACAGGAAATTTTAATACAGTACTGTACTGCATTTCGAAAACAAAATACAGTAACTTCGAATTTAAATTTTCAAATGAATTCTAAATTGATGTTGTTTTTCCATCGTCTTCATTTTTGGTAATTGTATGTTGAAATAGGTCGAAGATTCTCTTTCGGAATGAAGTATGACGCGCATCAAACCTTCACAATTTTTTTTTTCTTTTATACCTGCCCATAATGCGAACCCATTTCTTTTCCTTAATTTCAGATTTAAAAAAAAAAGCTCTTCGTACTCGAGTGATTACGGTTCATTCACAGTGATTACACGTCTATCCCTAGCAGTCATCAACAGATTTCCCTTCAGTGCACCATCGCTTTAACAGGGAGTCCACTCACCGATGCTGAAGATGCCACTGGGACAGTTACAGGGGAAAACATGGGCGGAGGGGCATTCACAGCATCACCAATCGGAGCTGAATTTGGCACATATCTTCCTTGTGAACTTAGTTCAGAGGTGATAGCCGTCGACGACATATCAGGGATACTGCTCTGCCCCGAAGGCGGCGAAAAAAACGACATTTGCGACAGTCGAGTCATCGAACCCCTGCTCGATGTTGGCCGACTGTTGATCGGATGCGCAGATGAAGTTTCATCTGGATCCACGCCATTTACTGCGTAAAGCTCCTTCAACATCAACAGCATCGTATCTTCGGATTCCCTGATTTGCAAAATCAATGATCATTCAGTTTCATTCCAACATTTTCCGGGTGAAAACTGAGCAGACTGATGTGAATGATGCCCTGTTTTTGACTCCAGTCGAAGAATATCATGTCCGATTATTGAAAGAATAGTTTTAAAAACATCTCCAACAATCCTCCAAAAATTCGAAAAATTCAGGTACAGTATCACTGCAGATAAGGAATGAGAATCTCTTGAGACTTTGTATAACTTCAAGACCTCTCAGATAATAAAAAATAATCCAATAATGCATTCCTTCACTATTGACCTAAGATGGAAGAGGAAAAGTGTTCTGAAATGGCTGGTTTCTTCAATATGTCATTTACAAAAAGTGTATGAAAAAAATTCTTCCGCTCCTCTAGTTCGACGAGTGAATGAAAGTATTCTTTGAACTGAATGAAACATGAATAACTTCTTCCTGGTAACTCACCAGTAACATAGATGAGAGCCAAGAGCAAAAAGGTATTCGTTGACAGTCTCAATCGGCTTTTCCTGCAACACATAATCAATCCTTCGACCGCCATTGAGCATTCCGAAATTGTGAGAAGCGTTCAAATCTGCTCCCGATTCTGACACTGATAATGAACCAACTGCCTCCAGTAAACCTTGCTGCTGATGCGCATCGAATGCTATGCTCCTCGCCACTTCATTCCGAACAGACTGCAAAAAATGCAAGTAAAGTAAACTTCCTTTAAAACGGATTTTCATCGAAAAAATATGCCAACACTCATAAGAATCCCGTCAGCTGAAAAAAGTGAGAAAGAGTTTGTAAAAATGATGCCATCGTCAGATTTCCAAAAATACTCGTAAAAAAAGATGCTGTTACCCAATACCTTATTGTAATGAAACAAAACTTCAATCGGAACCCGAAACAGTGACCAACAATTTTTTTTTTATAAATTATTGCCCATTTGAACGAAGACAATCACGGATGTCAGATCATTGCTTTCCTAAATGTATTGGTTTATTCTCTACCTTCGATGCAATGATCATGCGGGGTTTCCTTAAAGATGTACAAATTGTCCATTTTTGTGACTTTTTTTGGAAGCTACGCAAGATGGCATCGTTGACAGTTGTACGACCGATCGAGCAAGAAAGTGTTAATCGTCCCACTAACTTCTCAAAAACAAGCTCGAATTGAAAAAAAAAATCTTCACATTATCACGAAAGAGACGCAGTTATTGCTACTTACGTTATCAGAATTTTCCAAAGCTTCCGTCTGGCCGACTTGAGAGAAGGGAGAATACTGATACAGAGTATTCCACGTCGACTTTATCATGTCAGCAAAACGATTGAATTCAGTCCCAACGCGTCCCATCGCTTCTCTGAGCTCTGTAAAAAGAATAAGTAACTTGAATGGAGAAAAACGAAGTACAGTAACTGTAAACTGGAACTTTTCGGGCAAACTTTCAATGAATTTTTCATCAACACAAACACGGAAATTCAGCACTGCATCAGGCTGTTCTTTTCAAAGAATGTCCCCGCAGTAGACCAAATTTCATTTAAACACCCTTGAACCCAAAACATCAGGTCATTTTAGTTGGAATAATTTTCATTAGTTAAGAAATATGACTTGAGCGTGGGGATAGGTTAGGTTAGCGTGTTGGAGTGTTCCCTCGACAAAAAACGTCTCACGGCATTTCTTCTCATGCGTTGGGGCTGGGCTGAACATAAAGATGGGTTTCCGTGAGTTGAGAAAAGGGAGAAGATTCATGACGTAGCATATGTTGCAATTTCTTGTTGAATAATTTCAACAGCATGCATATCATCTATTTTCAATCACAAGGACATTTGTGATTCGGGGGGGGGGGGGGGGAAGTGATCAATTACGTTTCCAAGACTTTATCTATGCTTCGTCATACTTTCAACAAAACAAGGTGACTTCAAAAACTATATTCGCAGGTAAAGAACGTCAACATTTTTTAAATTAAAAATTTGAGCAACTTGAAAACGGATCATTCAAATAATAGGTCCATTTACCGAGATGCATGCGTTTTCGGCCTTTGTGATGCGGGATTAACACGGGATGGACGTCATTCAAAGACGGGTCGATCAACGACTCGATTCGATAAGCCACAGGATCAAAGGGGTGATAAATATTGAACACCGAAGGACACGTCGGTAACTTCCAGCTGAGGTTGAGCGAATCCAATCCACGGACGGTAACAAACAGTGCAATGGGAGAACCCATGGCGAAAAACATTCTTGGCACGAAGTTAAGCACCGGATAGTTGATGGACGGTTGTCCCGTACCCGCCGATCCGACAGCGTAAGAGACTGATGTAGTAGAGGTTTTCCGTTGAGAGGGTCGGAAAGACGACTGACTTCCAGTTTCGCTGCTCTGGGTTAACTGCAATTGTAAAATAATATTACATCTGCAAAGCGTATGTTACACAACTCAGCAAAATGCGAATAGAAACGAAATTTTTTATCATCGACGAGGTTCACATGCGTATGATATTCCACTAACTACAGATTACAGATTCTTCCGTGAAAGAAAAATCGAATTTTCATTCTTTCGACTGTAGAACAAATATATACGCAGCCGATTTTTTCCTTCAAAAGAAGCAATAAAAATTCAAAATAGAATACGGTGTTACTATATCATGATGAATTCGTTCACTTTAAGAAGTCAACCGTACAATGATGCTATTAATGCTGTATCATCCCCAAGCAACGCTCCTCAATCTGTCGTTTCGGTTCTCTTCTACACCGAAAATTTTAGCATCAATCAATGCCATAGGAAAGGCGTGAAAACGCAAAGCCCTAGGAATCCACGTGTTCAACGTTCTGTAGATTTCAACAAACCAATCTGGAAATGACCCGTTTTTAACTGTAGAAATTTTTGATATTTACTTCAAAATTCCAGCGCAAGATTTCTCGCTTTCATCACAAAAATACAAGAATTACAGCACCACCAAGACCCATACTTTCACCGCTGAGCAAGACTAAGAAGTTTCCAGATAAGGGTACAATACCTTCTTGCTTATTTCGTATTCTTTGGCTCCGGATATCAACTTCTTTCGAGGTCCAAGGGGAACGCCGGCTTCCGCCAAGTCCTTCTCATCACAAAGCACCTTTAATTAGAATGATAAAATGCTACAGTTATCTTCTTCCGTTCAAAAATTTCAATTATATTCGCTCTTCTAACCAGGGTTTCCAAGGTAATCTTTTCCTTTTTCAGCGTTTCCTGGTATTCTTCCAGTTGCAATTCTTTCAAAAAGGTTTCCAAACTTGCAGGCACGGGCTGTAAAAGCAGTACAATACGCTTTCATCAAAATCTAAGCAAGATAACGAAAAAAATCAACACACTGAGGCGATGTCGTCAACAGGCGCTTCTCTTCTCCCAGGAACTTTTTCCTCCGATGCCGGTTCGGGCTGATGCATCAATAAATCAAACAATATGACGCTACCAAGTGAATGACCGGCCAAAGAAACATGTCCCTTAAAATCCGGATTCCGTTTCAAGAAAATCTGATGCATTCGGTTCATTTCTGATCCAACGCGGTCCATGATGTGCTGATCAAAAAAATGAAAAATAAATGAGTGTATCCCAACAGAGAACATTCTACCACATGATGTGAGCACGTGACCAACTTTACTCAAAACTGTGACAGGGAACTTTCAGCTCGGCAAGAGTTCACCTGAATCATTAAATATTTAAATCTGCGGATCTATATACGGTCGGATCTTTCAGACTCGAATCCCTCTAGGTCAAAACCTCCAACTCATTTTTAGTCCCTTTTCTTAGTCCTTTTGAAACCATGTAACCAGAATCTCCTCAACTTGAAATTTTCGAACTGTCAACCTCCCTAAGGCAGAAGTTTTTGAAGAAAGGGAAGTACAGCTAATTCACATGGTACTGTGTTTGGAAAGGAAAATGAGCAACTTGAATTGGTTCATAAAATCCTGGCTTGAGTCTCTGCATCTGTAGACATTCATACAGCAGTTTTTTGAGTTCAGCCTTTATTATGCAGTGGGAATTATTGAGGAAATGCTTTTGGACAAACTACACACAGGTGCAGCTAGAATAGCAGCTCGCAGTACTTTTTTTTTTAAATGCACAGCAAACTTTTTTAGACCAAAATTTCCCCAACTTCAGACGCCCTTTCAGCAGAATTTTTTTCTTTTTTGGTCCCTTGAAATTCGCCAAAGAGATCCGACTGTTACTACGAGAATCTTTCCGGAAAATTGAATTATACCTGGCAGTAGACGGGAGAAGTGTAAAACAATATGTCCAGCAACGTATCGTTTATTAGGAAACGAAGCTTTGGAATACTTTGCAGCGTGATAGCTTTTAATTTGGTATCCACACCGGTGCAATCACCATGCAGAGCAGAATGCCAACCGACTGGAAGAAGTTCAATTCTCCCTATATCCCCGGCATCCAGTCTGGATTTGAAATGGGTCCTCAGCATATTGAGGGATAAATCCCGAAAATCGTCAACTAGAAAAAAAATCGGAGGGTCGCATAATCAACGTTAAATGTTTGGCAAAACAAAGTTGCAGCAAAAATTTTAGACCCAATTAAGTCTCTTAAAATCATCGAATAATGTCGGACGGAAACCCGGAAGTAACTCCTTAACGTAAACATAACAGTCGACAAATAATTACCGCATTCCACGATTCCTCGGAACCTCAGGTCACAAAATGCTCCAATACCGTGAACCATAAATACTAGATGGTCCACTCGCTGCGGCTCACCATCATCAATGTCAAAGTCTTCCACCCCACGCCGAACAGTGCATGGTCTCAGGACATTTTCCTGTGATTCGCAAAATGATCAATATCAGCGGTGATATGAACGTGGCTCCCGAATGAATTTCACCAATTTCTCAACTCCGAACCTGCGAACCAATGCCATCATCGGCACCAACGTCCATCAAAGCTCTTGGAGTACTCATCATAAGAGACGCAGGAAAATGCACGATGAGATTGGGGCCATGAATCAATATTATTTCCCCTCCAGGAAACTCCAACCTTCGCTGCCAATTTCCAGATTCAGCAGCTTTCTTATACTCTTCCTAATAAATAAGTCACGATAGTACGAAGTAAAAATCTCCAGCGTTCGATGACAATTGAGGAAACCTACCTCAAGTTTGGCAGCGAATCGTTCATCGTACGGAGTGAACTGCACATCAAGAGGCTCACGATAGAACCAAGTAGCTCTTCGAACTGGTGTAGGCTCCTCGGTCCAATACACCGAGTGACGCGTTCGCAAAACAACGTTTACATCATATCTAAAACATGTACACACGAAAGAAACTTCATTGAAAATACGAGCAAACTGAAATATTCCCGAGAAACGTACATCAGGAGCTACTCAAAAGTTATGATATGTGGAAGGAGATTTACTCGCCTTCCTCCATCCGTAGCAACCACGGTGTCCATATCTGTGTCACCTGACATACAGGCTTCCTCCAAATTTAGTGAATCCACTAAGGAAAAGGGAAACCAGGATTGTCTACCATCAGCAATCCGACAGAAGAACCAATGGGGAGAAACAGGACTATAGCCCTGCGCTTCGACCGCATTTTCCAGATTTGGTGTCACCAGTGAAACATTCTGCGCGTTAAAGTTGTATGACGGAAATTCTCGAGACGCCGGATGCTGTTGCGGCGGCATTTGGAAGCGGTTGTCGATAGAAGGCTCGACATACGGAGCGGAGGCGAAGGAATCACGCTGAACATGATGATGAGCTGCTTGGATAGGAGGAGCTTCGGCAGACGTGGGTGGAGTAATTGAGGAAACTGCGCAAAATTACATCCCTTTACTGTAAGTGAATACGCAGTCCAAATTCAAATTTCAGAATATGCGAATATATCCGCATCCTCCTTCATAGTCTAAGGAATAATCCTTAATTCCGCGATACAGCTGGAAGAAACTCGTTCACAAAATTCAACAGTCGAGATAAATGTTATGACTGTTGAGACACGACACGAAGATATAAAAAATATATTGCTACGCATACATCTTCAACTTACCCGGCACAGCAGGAATCTCGATCAGAGGTTCTGGCACAGGAACGATCATCGGAACCGGGACATCCTCATCAAGAAGTGTCGCATTAAACAAAAGAGATGTCGGAGGATGCCGCTTCACTGGTGGCTGGGGGATCCCTTCGCGAGGTACGGTTTGGGCAGCATACGGAGATGAGATGGGATTTCCGTCCCGTCTGCTCATTACGCAGTACTTGTCTAAGCGACACTCGTATTTTTCTGTGTATCAGCAATTTACGTAAGGTAACAACAAGTGCATAACGATCGCTAGATTCAGAAATTCCGGGGGCAGTCCGGAACTGGCACCGAAGTTCCGTCACGGTCTTCGAAGTGGCATTCCACTTACAAGACGATTCAGAGGTTACCACTTCGACTCAGAATGATTCCGACATTCACGACACATTTCTAACAAAATGACGTCAACAATGCTCTACGAAGTGAAGGACGTCATTCACCATTTATCCGCCCAACGCATCAAATCTGATGGGCCAACAGTTTCCACGGTGATCGCGGTCAGGAGAACAGTAATAAGATCGTAGCATTTGAAAACTTCGGAAGATCCGTCATTTTCGCCAGGTGTCGCTCGCAGTTTGATCAAGGCTCAATTCATAGTCTTGTCGAAGTACAGTATAGGACTGTATGAGTCATCCGCATACTGTACATTCTTACAGAACGAATAATCCCCTCTTGAGTTTTTCTATGCATACGTTTCGTTTCGTGAATCGCACTTTCCGTTAGGAATATTATATAAGCTGTGAAAATTTGAAGTTGTTCGCAAGATTAAGAATGAAATGGCAATAATCATCAGTGAAATTCTTCCACATATAGTATTGCTACTGCATGGTAGACCGTACAGTATAGTGAACATTAACGGTACCGACCTAAGCTATACTGCATATATTACACTCATTGTTTTTCACTGTATCAATCCCTATATAGTCAGGCGCGGGATGCACATCAATTTCCCTTTCTTTTTCATGAAAAAATTTTCTGTACTGCAGGTTTTCACGGCCCTTGATTCTCACATGGATAGATGATGCATAATGTAGCCTTGTCAACCGAAAAGATTGATTATTTCAAGCATTTACTGCTTCACAAAAAAGATAGAATTTGAAAGCCACCTCAGCTGGAAAACGTAAGTGACAAGAGATTTTGGCTCAGGGAAAATTGTCATTGTGATTCTCAGTTCTGTGCCATCCAAGAAATCATCATTGTACAGCATGCAGTTGAACCTTGCTACCGCAACCCTCCTTCATACGTTTATTTTTTCAAGGCCATTCAAATTCCAATGTAGAAATAATGCATTATACAAGCCTCTCATCCCCATTCAAAAGGCTTTTCTCCTCAAACCTCCCAAATTCAAATTTTCTGAGGCCCTTTGACTAGCAATTATGGATACAGGAATGAGAAAAGCAATGAAAAAGTTGCTTACTTGATGTGTTTTGAAAGGAAGTGAAGAACTGATACAGCAAATGAACCCCTGCCTCCAGGTACAGCATCCTGTTAAACTCATTCAAGAAATAATTCAAGGGCCCACAATATCATTTACAACTTTGAGCAATTTTTCTGTATTTCCCACAATACAGTAAATGCTTCCCTAACTCAAAACCTCCCTTAGTCAACTTTTTTGCAGGTCCCTTTATTGGAATTTGACTTAATAGGTTTGGTTGCTTTACAGGGGATTTTTTCTTTCAATTTGTTTGCCATAGAAAGTTTTTAATGCAAAATGTATCTTCTGTGCTGGGTGCTTCTACTGCTTCCTTATGCAGGGACTCACAATTGCACTGTAGAATATTAACAGTCAGTTATGCTGAGTTAAAATTCGTAATTTGTAAATGTATGGTCTAGTATTTTCTATGTCTGTGTTTACTAATGGATATACTGTAATTCAATATGTATAGCAGTTGGTATGAAGAAGAGGCAAAAAGCAAAATACAGTACATCATTCTGTAATACCTAATTTACCTGTACGTTATAAGCATACAAAAATGTATGCACAATTCAGTTTTTATAATCCAGGGGTACTTCTGTAATATTTGCTTCCGTTTCAAAATTGGAAAAGGTTTTTCAATGACATAATAACGTCGCAGATTATTTAGAACTTCCAAAAATCGACACTTTTAATGTCACACATTTCATTCTCGCATCAAAAACTGGGATCACTTGAATTTCCCGAACTAAAAAAATCAACAAGTCAAGAAAATATCGCTTCCAATCGTAATTAACTCATCACAGCAACAGCAACAAAAAACCACATTATTCCAGAAAACAAGCATGTTCGCCGACAACAAATCACTACAATTCAGAATTCGCACCATATGCGAACAGAACCAAGCGATTCAAACGAACACAAAGAACAAAAAAAATTGCCCATATCATTCAATGAGCCCTTCAACGAAGAAATTCGCCTTACTCTATTCTGTATTTCGTTTTTGGAACATCGTAATCTTGTTTTCCAAAAGCGACGGATCCGCGCGATGTTTCATCAAAAATTCTCCTTCAAAATGAAAAACAGGGATGTCATATTGATACAGTCGCTTCCACTCCTTGTTGTTTTTCGCACTGATGTCCACGATTTCCAGCGAATACAGGTGAGACAAATGCCGGATTTGCATCAAGGCTTCATCACACAACGGGCAAGGTTTCTTCGTGAACAGCGTCAACACCGGCAGAACTGCAGAACTTCTGCATCCGGATTTGCTTCCCCTCATTAAGCACAGAATTAAGTAGTCTCACTCTCTCTTCCACAAAATGAAATTGGATATTGGCGAAGGAGACAGAAAAAGGATTGCACTCCAACTAATTCCGACCAGAACACTTACAGCTTCTCGATCAAGATCGACGAAGCACCGCCACCTCCATTGCAAATAGAAGCTACGCCTTTCTCCCCAGCCTTCAAGGTGTGAACCAAATGCGTAACAATTCGTGCTCCAGACATCCTTAAAAAAATAGAAATACTTCGCTGAGGATACGAAAAAAAAGAATGAGCAATTGATCAATAATTGATTGATTGTCGTACTACTGAAGAAAGTTCCTAAGCTGCACCTCTTCATTATCCCTGAACACAAGCGAACGTTGTACCTGTAAAACTAAAGAGAAAAAAATCAACTAACGCATGAACCTCTACAATTTTGATTCATCAAAGCTGTCGACAAGGTATAATCACTTTGAAATCCTGGGAAATCACCCAACCAGTACATAAAAAAATTACCACAAAAAGTAAGAAAGCACTTAGAATGCAACTTATTCGAAGAAAAAGCAAAACTAGGAAACAAGTTTTCCTCTTCGAATCAATTGAATTTTTAGTTATTCAATGTAGCATATAAAATGAAGTTTTCCAGTTTCTGAGATATTCTGTCAGAAGTGTGGATCGATCGTCGAGAGAGCTTATCTGACTATTCTTTCTTGAGTTTTTTGAGCGCTGAAGTTCCCCCTCCTTTTTCTTGCGATTTTGAACAAACAATATCCAACAAGTTTACACTCGCACAAATTTCATTAGGTTCATTTTGTGATCATCCTTTCATCCTTATCCTTGAGACCTTGACTGACATGATCCATGCAATTACAGTAGTAACAACCTTTCAAGCCGGAGCCAGTGTCCTAAGCTCAAGATTCATATTTGCAAAGGTAAAACGCTGACTTGATTGGAATCTAACACTTGTAAAGGATGAAAGTGGATCTGACATGATGAAACTCACCCAATGGGATGGCCCAAACTGACAGCTCCTCCATGAATGTTGACTTTACTTGGATCGATATCCAGCATCTTGATATTTGCCAGGACTACAACACTGAAGGCTTCGTTGATTTCCCACATTGCCACATCATCCTTTTTAACACCAGCGAGTTCCAACAACTAAATGAATGAAAAATGTAGTCAAATCAAAAAGTATTTAGCGTCACAGAATCACCAGTTGTCGGATTAACTTAAATTTTGCCACTCGATCATGGGCTACCGAATAATGTAAAGAAAACCCTGCAGTTACAACAATATAAAGAAAAACGTTAGAGGTCCTCTGACACCGTCTACACCGAATAACGGCTTGCTTGCAATTTTAGGACACACTGTCACTTGATTTAAAATCCCGAATGACTGAAAATGAATTCTGAGGATTCACGAAAAAGCGCATCGACGATACTGTATCAGTGTGATTGTGATGACACACTGCATGCAAATGAAGGCATACCGATTATACTTCAAACGAAATTCCGCATGCATGCAATATTCTGACTACCGTGCGGTAAATTGTTGCTTTAGTAAATTGTTACCTCGGTAAAAGAGTGGAAGAATGATTTCACACGCTTGATACGTTTGTTTATTTCTTGGACATTGTTAAGATCGTGCTCTATACTTAGCTTCAGGAATGACAGACACTGGCGGAGATACAAATGATATCGAAATTTAAAAGAAAAATCTTCGGACAACCCCATGAACTAGCATCTGTGCAGACAAGTCAAAACAGACCATAGGTTCCTGAACAAACCCTGATTTTCGCCGGCAAGTTAAACTTAAAAAAAGAAGTGCGTTACATATACGGAATAATGATTTCAGAAAACTGACCTTTGGAGTGGCAAGTGCAGGTGCAATGGGAAAGTCAATCGGGTCTGTTGCTGCATCGGCACCCGCAACAATTCTTGCCAATGGCGTAAGATTGTACTGTTTCAGAGCCTGTTCATTAACTATAACAAGAGCAGAAGCTCCATCATTCAACGTAGATGCATTTCCAGCGGTAACAGTGCCACCTTCTCGCTGAAACACGGTATTCAGCGTCGGAAGCTTCAAGAGATTCACTTTCTTGAATTCTTCATCTTCGGTTACTGTTGTTGATTCGCCGCCTTTCTTCTTAGGAGGTACAACAACGGGGACCAATTCACGGGAAAATACTTCAGACTTCCACGCTTCGGCACTGAGTTTGTAACTTCGTGCTGCATAATCATCCTGTTCCTTACGCGATATTTTCATCCTTTTCGCTGTGTTTTCTGCACAGTTTCCCATGTGACACTCGTTATACACGTCAGTGAGTCCATCAAAAACAATGCTATCGAATAGTGTCACTCCACCATACGGTGTTTCCCCACGCTTCATGTAATATGGGCAATTGGACATGCTCTCCATTCCACCAGCAATCATCAAGTTATTCGTTCCAGATTTTATAGACTGAGCAGCCATCATCACAGACTTCATCCCGGATGCACAAACTTTGTTGATTGTAGTACACAGAACACTTTTTGGAAGCCCAGCAAAAAGCGAAGCTTGACGAGCTGGAGCTTGACCTCCCATTGCCTGCACTACATTTCCCAGGTAAACTTCTTGCACTGCGTCAGGGCTGATGCCAGCATTTTCAATCGCTCCCTCAATTTTAGATAAAATACCGTATTACCGGGAACACCTACAGTAATTGTATGTGTACTTACTTTGATAGCAACAGCTCCAAGTTCTGTCGCACGGAACGACGCCAGTGAACTCCTGAATGACCCTATGGGTGTTCGCACAGCACTTGCAATGAAAACATCCCCTCCAATCGAGGAGAAGTGTCTGATCTGACCAAGACGATTCATCCTCAACCGCTTTCACGGAAAAAATTCCGTTTCAAACGATCAAGATCTCTGCGAAGGAAGGAACGATTTCGGCGATAACACGAAGGAATCTCCCAAAATGTTCTGGGACAAAGAAAAAGTAAATCCGGTCCACGATTTCGTTCCGAGCCTCAAAATTCTCCAGATTTCTCTCGTTCCTGGGAAACGGCATTTGGATGCGTCGGGGTTGCAAGATTGCTCGAGCTGCCGTAGACGAATCAAGCTGAACAGAATCACAACCAGCTACTAAATTGAGAGTTTCGTTTGACATAAGTGAACCTCGAGAGGGAACTGTTCACATAATATGGAGTCTCGCATCTAATTCCAAAATATTGTTCAGCATGCATATGCACATGCATTCTTTTCAATATTCCACACATCGCCTACCATATAAACAATGTACTGTAGTATGTTACGGTACGAAGATTCACTCACAGCAGTATGAACAGTTGAGATTACCTTCTGTGAGTTTGGTCTCCAGACAAATAAATAACTAATTCATCAACAGGATAGATTGTTGGGAGCTTTAGGGACTTTAGTCCTTAAGCTCCGATTTTTGCTGTAATTTCAATCTCATTCAGCTCAGCGCAGGAACCGCGATCACAGGATCATTCACCCTACGTATCTTATGAACACGGAAGTCCCGCGGAAGAAGCGCATTGTACATGAAGAAAGTGAGAGGACATCTTTTCGGGTTTCTCGGAGGGCTTGAGGAGATCTTCGACAAGAACGCGCATTTAGAGACAAATAATTCTTGTCCAATCGGCTGATTAAGCAGCATACTAATCGACATGAACTCCGTACCTTTCTTGATTGATGCGCATCACATCAGAAAGAATTGATGTGATGCGCATAATCGACCACTTCACAATTGGTCAGAGTGAAATTCAGCTTGCAGTAATCATGATAGCTCACCGACACTCATATCACCTAGTTCAGATTAATATCGCCCTAAATATAAACGTACGCGGTTTATGGGGCCGCGCCAGCGAACGTCAATACAACAGCACGTGTTGCTAGCAGCACTAGGCTCAGCATGATGTATTACTGCGCGGGATAATTGAATTGCAAGGGGAATCCATTTCACAATACTGTAATGTTGAATATTTTACAACACTGGCTTTAATACAATAGTATGGTTGGGTAATAGGGATAACTCATGCTCCAGGATTCAGATGGATGCTTCCAAGGAAATCCAGTTTGTTTGTATAGATATCATCACAGCATAATATATATCAGCTATAGTAATGTATTATTGATTGTACAGTGAGACCCCAGCACTTGCAGACACCTTGATGATATGCAGACAATTTGACAAAAGGAATTTTATTTTTCAATGAAGAAGGCATTAAAAAGGCCTGACATATGGACACTAACTTGACGTATGGACATTGCATGATAAAATTGCCAAAAAATTTCAGGAAAATTGATTTTCATTAGGCTTAATTGTAAGAAGCAGATATTTCCGACCCTAAGATCTACAGTATATGCAAGAAAAATTCTTTGGTATTTCTCCCATTCTTTTCCCATCCATTCAGCTAATTTAAAAGAATTACCCATATCATAGAGGTACAGGTAAACCCTGTTAAACTGCCCCCCAATAAACCACCACCCTCACTTAATGCCAAAATTTCATCTGAAAGAAATCAGCTTAATACTAAATGCATTGGGAAACATCAATAGACCGCCATCTGCCAATAAGGTTTTTCTTGTCACAAATCTCCTACAGCCCTTAATTTTTTCCTCTATAAACCACCAATGATTTCTCCTGACAAAATCATCATTCAAATTAAGCCAGTCTAACTGCTGACGACCACCAGTTTGACCAACCAGGATCAACCACTCTTTCAATTGAAAAGCCTGCTGCTTATCAATGTAATTTTATGATAGGTTTCACAGTGATGCATAAAATATGTTTATCATTTTCTTCACTCATTTATTTTATACACTCATCATTTCTATACAGACTTTAAAAAAATCTCTTCACACCTGCAATCCTGTGCAGTTCAGAAGTACACTGATTTTATTTTCTTAATAATGAGATGAGAAATATGCACAACTGTGCATGATTTATCTGGTAATCCATAGAAAGATATAAAATCATGGGACAATTTAAAACCCCCTCACACAGAAAGACCAAGCTGGTCTACAGTGTGACTGGAGCAGACATACTGCAGCCCTTCAATTTTTGGCTTGTGACAGCTGCTAAATGAAATAAATCTTTAAAAATGTTTCATCTTTGAACATTTTTTCTGTATTCAGATGGAACTGTTTTTCTTATCAAGTGGTGCTTTTTTTTTGCTTCTTGACAAGCATGCAGGTTGAACCCTTTTTACTGCTGGGCTTTGGTTTTGGTTTTTGGCTTGGCAAGAAGGAGGTAGGCAATTGGGGTTGCCACTTAGTGCTACCCCAATAAACTGCCATTCCCATTAAACTGCCAAAATTGTCATGCACAAACATTGGCAGTAATGAGGTTTGACTGTACTTCCTTCTCTCTGTGTGACATGAATGTTATTTTTACAGATGCCAACATTTCAATGTACAGTACTGTATAGATGAGGTATATACACTATATGCTCCTGACATGCTCATTGAGTTGAATAAAAGATAATCACTAAATCAAATTCAAGTGGCAAACAAATTTTCTTCATGGAATTCTGAAGAATATTTATTTCATGAAACACCAATGAAAAAGTGTATAATGTATGTCTATATGGGAAAACAAGACTTGACTTAGGGACACCCTTGAGTCTTGATGCACCAATTATGTCTGCATCTGGATGTCTCAGTGCCAGGGCCAGATTAAACCACATTCTGGCCTGATGCTGGGCAAAAACTGGGCCTAATATTTCCTTGTAAAAAGGAAATGTGAATTTTTCCTCACACAATTGAAAGTTATAATTTGTTGAGAACAAAGGATATCTGAGGATAGAATTTAACCAAACATAGATAAGGTCAAATTCCATCACAATGATTCTCATAACAATACATTTTTCTTATCAATTTTTCATGGTCCTATAGCAGTTTCTCCATAGGCACCATGTTATAGATATCTCATTTTTATTAACTCATTTTAGACTTTCATCTCATTATGATAAACCTCTGGGCCTGATTTTGTACATAGGCTATAGCAATTAATCCATAAATGATAAAAGGAATGAAAAAAATTGAAAGGTCCAATTTCTTGAAGGAATAAAGATTTTTGTTGAGAAGGCTAGGTGCTCAAAAAATGCACAACATGGCATACATCTTGGAAATTCTTTGACTACATTTTAAGTTGCATGCCTTTCTTTCAAGTAAACAGTATACAGTTCTAAAAGATTTGTTCCTCTATTTGAATGAACAGACAGGTATGAGCAAATAAGTTGATTCAGAAGGAAGTAAAGAATTTATACTAGTACAAAGGCAGGTTTAATGAAATGCAATAACTATTCTGCTTTCAGAACTTTTCTCTGCATTTTGTCAAAAGGCTTAAAATTTGTAACAGGTCTTAATTTAGCTGTTTCAGATGCACATTACCTGAAACTATGGCCCATTTTGCAATGAAATTGAGTCTGAAATATGTCAAAACCAATAATCAAAAAACTCCAAAAATTATACTCCATATGTATATGCTTCAATGAAACTCAGCGGATTTGAGAGTTAATTTGATGTGTCTGCTTAAGAATGCGCACAATAGTATCAGTTGTTCCACTCATGAGTCATGACACAAACGATTTACATAATCAAACAAATGCATGATGATTAAGTATGTGCCTGTGTGAAACAGAAATTTTTCATCATAATTTTGAGTGTATCTTGGATGGCAGCATGTGAAAATTGCATCCACATAATGCAATTATTCAAAAATTCCGCATATTTTAACTCTTGTGTGGCTAACTTGGGATATAGAAAAAGTATTGTGCCCATAAGCACTTTAAATAAAACATTGCATTTCTGAATGAACACTAAGGCAAGGGAAAAGTATAATATTTTAATCTAATCCTGCCAACATTTTTGAGAAAGATTTAGAAATCTTCTGAAGCTTCACAGTGGTTTCATTAAAAAAACTTGCAGTGTCTACATTAGAATGCAGTGAGAGGCTCCATAAAGAAAACCAAGAGATATAAACATTCAGCAACTTAGAAATGTGTCAACTACCCCCAAAATGTTTATACAATTGAATTGAAACCTTTGATTGAAGTTTCTCCTCCCATGATTAGTTTTATAGACTATATAGAGCAATGGAAAAACTATAAAATATATACTTAAACTGTGGAATTTCTTATATTGAAAATGGGCAAGATGAAGACTTATTTTTCAAATGCAAGATAAACAGGCATATGTCCAGAATAATGAACTCACTTTGCCAAGCTCCTGCTCCTGGAAGTCATTGTAGAAAATATGGCTCAGCCAAGACTGCCTTGGTCAAGACATAGTGTTCAAAAAAAGCATATCCCCTTCAAGAAAGGGACATTTGCATTCATGGAACCCAGGGCAACAATGTTTAAGTAGGGGGTGTTTGTCCAAGGAGGCACAACAGAGAATGGGTTGATTAAAATTGTTTTTCAAATGTTAATAAATTACCGATGTTTCCAAAATAAAAAATCATAATTTTCTAAACACCAAGAAATCACTTCAGAAGATTTTTGAGGCCGCAAAAGGCTTTCAAAGTGGGGACAGGAGTGACAATTTTATCCTGCTGCCAGTGGCATGGATTGAATTGAAACCTTTGATTTGATTTTCTCCACCCATGATTTGTTGGCACCATATCTTCCTGTTTCTGGCCATTGGCCTTGATTTAACTTCAATGCAGGAATGATTGCTTGCTCTCAACCAATTTTTATGTCCTTGATCTGGTTTCCTCTTCACTGCTTCTCATTTGAAGCATGCTGGAATTGATTGATACCTGCTTTTTGAAAGCATAAATACTTTTGTCTCTCTTCTGTTTTTGGAGGGTTTTCATAATTTTAAAAAAGTTGGTATTTCCCAGCTGGGGAATTTTCATTGAAAATTCCCCAGCTTGGGTAATTCTTGAGGGGCCTATTTTCCTGGTGGGCCTAATGCTGTAGCAGCAATAACACCCAGCTTAATCTGTCCCTGGCTCCAACCCTCTTCAGCTCCAAACCTCTTCAGCTCCGAACCTCTTCAGCTCCAAACCTCTTCAGCTCCAAACCTCTTTGGCTCCAAACCTCTTCAGTTCCAAACCTCCTCAGCTCCAAACCTCTTCAGCTCCAAAACTCTTCAGCTCCAAACCTCTTCAACATTGTGTTTCAAGGCATTCCCAGCATTTTCTCACACATGTAGTGAAAGTGTTGGTAACACTAGCATCAGTAAACCCAATTGCTTTTTTAGGTGCACTGTAATGAGGGTAATCTTGGAAACATCATCACATCCTTCCAAAAAGTGTTGAAAAAACAGTTTGCTTTAAATTGTTTTCATCATCTTCTGTGCACATACACAGGAAGTGTTTGTAACACTAGCAAAAGTAACCTGAATGGTTTCTCCACATGTAGTGTTATAAAGGGGATCCAGGAAACATAAAAACCTTTCAAACGTGTGGTGTAACAATGTTTTGTTTCAGGATGTTTCCAGCATCTTTTGTCCAGCATCTTCTAAACAGAAAGTGCTTATAAAAATAGCAAAAGTCATCCAGATTGATTCTTCAAGTATTTTGCAAAGGAGGGAATGCAGAAAACATCGTATCTTTTCAAAAGTGTGTTGCAACAACTGTTTCTTTTGTTGTTCCCCTTTCTTTTCTTTACATGCACTGAAAGTGTTGGTAACTCTGGGACAAGGGATCTCTTTTACTTCTTTAGGCATAATGACCTGCAGGAAATCTAGGGAACATCGTAACATGATCTCAAATGTGTATTGTAACAACATTGTGATTCAAAGCATTCCCAGCAATTTTTCCACACATATACTGAGACTTATTATAACACTCTTGCAAATCACCCCAATTCCTTTTTTAAGTGGAGTGTATTGAAGGGAATGCAGGAAACATGAAATGCT